ATAGGCCATGGCCTATTCAGAACCAGGCCGCACAAGTGGCCACACTCACAGAAACCCATCCTTTCTCCCCTCCCCCCATGCTGTGTCGCAAAGCCAGAAAGGTTGAGGGCTGCTGTTTTAGGGAATGACTCATTTTATGTGCACCTTTAAAACAAAAATTATGAACAGTATTGTTGTTATATAACCTACTAACTCTTGGCATAGAAGGACTCTTACATTAAAAAAGATCTTAACTTTTTTTTCCCTCTCCTTTTTCTCAGAGATACTATAAGATGATGAGTGGGTAGGATTGAAAGATGGATTCAGAAGATCCATTTTTTTTCCTGGCATGCTTTTCTTTCTCTTACAAACAAGAGATTTCAGAGAAGGGACAGAAAATTCCTACTAAAAGTTGAAGTTGATCTCTTGCTTAGAGTTTGAAATTAATCACGCCACTGCAATTAACCTCAGAACCATTAGTGGTCACTTTTGCCTTAAAAAAAGAGCAAATAAAGACATCTTTGGCTGAAATTTGAGATTTATTTTAAGTTAAGAGCTTCTTATTTTTTCTTCAAGCCAGTTTGGACAATAAAATGCAAAAGAGAAACATTCATTAAGATCCATCTTGACAGTGTTAAGCTTTGGCCTGATTAGTAATAGACTCTGTGGCGTCAAAGATATGGCATCCAAATAACATTTTGAGTTCTTCAAGCTTTAATAAGTCTATTTATTCATATGAAAATCAATGAGAAATTGTAATTATTTTATTCATTAGTTTGCTGCTAAAATCAGAAATTTCTTTTGAAGGACTTTAGTGAGGACACAAAATTTAAAAAAAAACACCTGTATCTCACTTAATTTGGATATGCCATTCACTGGAGAAAGCAATTATACTTGGAAAAGTTAGCAGTAGAAGGAAAGCAGGACACCAAAGAACATCAACATTGATGAACACTGTCAAAGCTGACAACAACTAGAGCATAGAACAACTCAAAGACGTAGTAGAAGATAGGAAGATGTGAAGAGCCCATAGAATTGCCAAGAGTCAGATACAATTGAATGGATATCATCATCATCATCATCATCATCATCATCATCATCATCAGTGGAGCAGAAGATACACAAGGCAGAACTAGAAGGGGCTACTCATGACCTAGAGACAGCAGTCAATATGTCTTCTACAATGCATTTGTAGCTCTTGTACCTAATAAGTCATAGTTTATAGCAGCTTTGCCTGTCACATCTATCTAATGATACAAGTGTGTAATGTGTGACATCCTATAAATTCCATCATTTCATATTTGCATCCCAGTATCCAATGCAAACAGATATCTTGTGGCATTTGCTTGTGGCTAACATGTATGTGTCATTTTCTCTTCCCATTGTCCTCCTCTACATCAACTACATTGAAGGGCTGAACCATCAACAGACTGTTTAGGGATAGAAAGATAAGAAAGGACTGAAAAGTAACGTGCCTTTAGTAATGGTAAATGCCATTTCTATTGTATCAAAAGTGTTTTTTTTATTTTCAGAAAGGCATCCAAGTTATATTGGATGGTGTTGGAGAAGAAATGTTCATAGGCATTTTGCCATTTCTCTTCTTAGCAGTTAGACCTAGCAGTTAGACTTATATACCGCTTCATAGGGCTTTCAGCCCTCTCTAAGTGGTTTACAGAGTCAGCATATTGCCCCCAACAACAATCCGGGTCC